CCCTCATGCGTTGTCTCTAGAATGTCCCGTACCTCTTTAGTAGTTTCGCACATTAACACTCTCCTAAACTTTTCAGGAGACATAGACATAAATAATGCATGGAGACCTTTACTATTCCAGTTGCAATCAGCCAATTCATCATTAGTTCAAAGGGAAATGTCAGTTGGGGTTACAACGCCAGAAATAGTTGTGGAAGGAGGTTTCCAACCATTTTGTACACTCACCCAGACACGTTCAAATAGGGACTTAAGAAAAGCACGCATTCTAACCTTCCAATAGGCATAGTTGCTTCCGTCAAAATACGGGGACACAGACAGTGATTAACTCATCTAGACAACTTGGGTTAGGACTCGAGATTTAGCTCTGATACCACTTGAAATATCGTAGTTCGACCCAATCAATATCTAGAGGGGATGAATAGGTGTTTATGCGAAATTTTTCTTTTCAATCAATTAATAATTGCAACACATCACAAATATTAATTTGTCTAGATCAGTTCACATCCTTTACTATCCTATGTTTGAATATCATTAATAAATTAATAGCAGAAAAGTAAATAACGTAATTGTTTGTTGACAGAGAAATCCCAAGGTGGGTAAAACTCCGGGCCCAAGCCAGTAGGAATCCACTATAAACGAAAATACAACTTACAATCTGTTAGACTCAACCTACACTAGTTTTTCTGACCTCCTGACTGTAATTTCCTCAAAGCCTTCCTAGAATGTGTGATCCTGTACCAACTCCCGGATCCTAGCCCTTTTAGATTGCGTGCTACACCAATTCCTGACTCTTAATTACATCTATCTCTTGTGGATTCAAGAGAACCGCCTATTCTCTAATGATCGGGACTCCGATCTCCTTCCTTGATCTCCAAGAATCAACAAAAGTACTGAAAGGTTGTGTTGTGGTGTTTGATGAATGTAGATTTGATATTTTTAGGTGATTGCGCAAATCAAATGTGGGATTGAATGAATGAATCAAGTGTAGAGAGTTTTTCTTTGATTTCAATCCTTAAGAGAGACGTATGAAAACTGGCACAATTTAATTTATATGAAGTGTATTGGGACATTTGGGTCAGGCCAAAATGTCGAAAAATGAAAATTAGGGCTTTCTAGATAACACCGTCGCTCAAGCGAAAAGTGAGCGACGCTGTTTCGCTCGAGCGAAGTAGGGGCGAGAAGCGAGCGACGACCTTTCTGTTTTTGTCGCTCAAGCGACCACTTGGCAAACAGCTAGCAAAAGTTTAAGGACACATATTGCCCTACTTCATAGCTCGAACCCTAACATATTTTGACAAAATTACAACTTAGTTCCTCATCTTTTACACATGTACAAATTGACCCCTAACCTTTAAACATTGACACATTGACCCCAAACTTTTGAACATTTACAATTTTACCCTTTTGTTCACAGAATAGCCAACACAAAATCTAACATATCCAATACAAAGAAATTTAGCCTAACATATTAATGCAAGAATTACACAAAAAAAGAAGAAGCCATCACTCGAATCATTAAATTATGAAGAAAATCTAGAATTCTTCAATTAAAGCCTTCATATCAAGATCCAACGATGAATATTTCGTTCTTTGATGTTTCTCAAAATTTGCCTACCTTTGTTCTGGACTTGCTCTATTATTTATAGAATGCCAAAGAGATTGCTTACCAAAATAGAATAAAGAAAGAGAGATTTTTTTCCTGTTTTACACTGAGGTTCACGCCCTAGTTTACAGTTTGGCCTTACTACCTTGGAGCACCCCGTTTTGTGTTTGAGGTGCGCCTTGGCTTGCCTTAACTTGGCCTTTAAACTTTCTTCAAGATCTTCGTTTCGTCCTTCTTCATTGTTTTTTGCTCTTTCGCTTATTTTTTTTGTCCAAATAAGTTCTTGCAATCTCGAATCTTCATTTTGTAATCTTACCCAAAGTTTGAATTATTATATTTTAGTTGCCAAACTTTGTATTTGATGCAATTGAGCCCCTTTTCTCACTTATTTCCCTTACTCTTACCTCTTTCATTCATATAAAAACAAGGATACCATTGTGAAGGGATCCAACCACCTAGACTTTAGCTTTACCAAAATTAAGGCGTAAATTGAAAATCAACACTCGCTCGCCAACCTCAAACTCCTTATCCCTTACATACTTATCATGGCAATCTCTTGGTCTTTTCCTTGTAAATCTTTGCATTTTCAGATGAACCTAATCGAAACTCATCAAGCTCGTGAAGTTGTAGAACCCTTTTTTACTCCTGTTGTCCTCGTATTGAAATTGAGCAAGTGTGTCGCCCAATATGCCTTATGCTTTGGCTCAGCCGAAAAATGACAAGCCTACGAGCCTATATGGAGACGTGCCAATTGGAGTCTTAATTGTTACTCTGTATGCCCAAAGTGCATTGTCTAATTTCTTTGCCCAAATTTTACATGATATATTGACCATAACTTTGAGAATCTTCTTAAACTCCCTGTTGGAGACTGTCACTTGCACACTAGTTTGAGGATGATACGGAGTTGAGACACGATATTTCAGTCTATAGTTAGCCGAAAACGAAACGAATAAGTGGTTGAAAAAAATGCTTTCCACCATTAGTAATAATCGCCCTGGGGGGCTCTCATGAAAATGTTATTAGGAATTGAGTCGTTAGTTGCCAAAGCTATAGTCTTAACCTGCTTAGATACGTAATCCATTGCCACCGATATGTGTTTTTGACCGTAGGATGAAGGGAATGGTCCTATGAAATCAAAGCCCCAAACATTGAATATCTCAACCTCTAAAATTCTATTTAAGGGCATCTCGTTCTTTCTTGAGATGTTTTCGGTCCTTTGGCACTTATTACGATTTTCACCATATAATGTGCATCCTTGAACAATTAAGCCAATAAAAACATGATTGCAGTACCTTTGCTACCTCTATTGCTACAAAGTGACCTCCATATGGTGCAGAGTGGCATAATTCCAACATCTAAGGCTGCTCTACTTTTAGTACACAACATTGTATAATCTGAGCTAGACCCATTCTATAAAGAAATGGATTATCTCAAAAGTAGTGTTTCAAGTCACTGAAGAATATTTCTTCTCATGAATTGAGCATTCTGGTGGGATGACCAAATGATTCACGTAATCTATACCATGGCGTAGTGATGATCTAAAAGAGCATCTCATCCGGGAAAACTTCATTGGTCTCCTCTAGAAGGCACAACTTAAGTGATTTAAGGCGAGATAGGCTATCCATAACAACAATCTCGCTCCCATTTTTATTTTTGATCTCCAAATCAAACTCTTGCAATAGGATTACCCATTGAATAAATCTCGGATTTGTATCCTTATTGCTCATTAGATACTTCAAGCCTGAATGATCCGTGTAGACAATCACTTTTGATCCAATCAAATATAATTTGAATTTGTCAAAGACGAACACCACCGCCAAAAGCTTCTTCTACGTGTTGGCATAATTCAGCTGAGCCTTATCCAAAGTCTTACTGGCGTAGTGAATGACATATGAAATCTTTTCCTTGCATTGACTTAACGTTATCCCCACTGCATGATCACTGGCATCATACATAAACTCAAACGAATAATCCCAATATAAAGAAGTCAAAACTAGAGCATAAACCAACTTCTCCTTTAGAATGTTGTAAGTAGTCAAACATCATTTAAAAGGTCAAATCGAGCCCCTTTTTCCAATAAATTGCATAATGACTTCGAGATGTTGGAGAAGTCCTTGATGAAGCAGTGGTAGAATCGAGAGCGATCTAAGAAGCTTTTGATTCCCTGTAATGTTATTGACAATAGTATTTTCTCAATGACCTATATTTTAACTGTATTTACTTCAATACCCTTTGCTGATATCAAATGCCCCAACATGATCCCTTCTTAAATCATGAAATGACATTTTCCCAATTTAATACCAAGTTGGTGCCCTCACATTCCTGCAACACTTTCCCCAGATGTTCAAGACAATCCTTGAATGACTGAGAAATCATTCATAAACACTTTAATGATATTCCCACCATGTTCGAGAAAATAGTGATTATACAACACTGAAAAGTAGCTAGAGTATTGCATTGACCGAAGGGCATTCTCCTATAAATAAAAGTGCTATAAGGGCATGTGAAGGTAGTATTCTCTTAATCGTGTGACGCTGTAGAAATCTAGTTGCACCCTTAATAACCATCTACAAAGTAGTAGTAAACCCATCCAACAATGAAATGTGATCATTTCTCATGGCATTGTTGAGTTTGCGATAATGCAAACACTTCAACCCGTTACTGTGCGTGTAGGAATAATCTCGTTATTTTCATTTGGAACCACTATGATTCCCCCTTTTTTTGGCATGAGCTGTACTGGATTGATTCAATGGCTGTTTGATATGGGGTAAATGATCCCCACATCTAAAAGCTTTAATAGCTTTCTTCGTACCACATCCTGCATAGTCGAATTTACTCTGCATTGCATTGATGCTCTACTGAAACTTTGTAATCCTCTTCTATCAGTATCCTCTACATGCAAAGAGCATGGCTGATACGTTTTATATCCGAGATAGTCCATCCTATTGCTATCTTGTGATCCGAAGCGCACTCAGCAACCGATCTTCCTTTGAGAAAAAATATGAGAAATGTTTTTTTGAAGAATATTTGATCGAACACTTTTAGACAAGGTACTTCTTAAGAGGGTGACTACTCTAAACGAATATATGAAATGCCTATTGTGATAGACAAAGCCAGCATGAATGTCTGATTGATGCATGGATGTCTGATTGATCATTTTTCATTTTTTTGTAGGATATAACTTGGTTGGAAACTATATTTCACGTATTAGGTGGGATAAATCGACTCAAATACCTACAAAAATTGAAAGTTTTTTTCTTAAGGTCTAAATATTTAATTTTCTTTGTTCCGTATTAGAATTTCAACAACCCTCCTGAACTTGCAATTTTGATACACCGTAAATAAATTGTAGAGACCGCATTTTAAATAAAAACTCAATTTTCTCAAGCCTATAAAATCCTTTAGCAAGCTAGGTTTTCTTATTAAGAACAAGAGCATAATAACCAAAGATAAGCGAAAGAGCACACTAATTAAAGAGAACATGGAGACTCAGCGAGCCGGCCTCCATTTATCTGAACACGACGAGTTGAAACATGTCTTTCTCATTGACCTATGAGAAAGGAAACGAGAAGAACAACATGCACATATATACATTATTCGACATCACATTTCAGATGAAAGGGAAAATAACAACTTGCACATCCATACATTATTTGACATCACATTTCAGAAGAAAGGGACTTAGTTAGCTGCTCTTAGCCTTTTCACAGAGCCTTCTCCATCTTCATCAGTTGGTCTAGCTTTTTTCTTTGACGGAATTTTAAACTTTTGGCCAAGGAAATTCATCCACCATATAGCTGAGTTTTTTGGGAATCTTGTGAAACGACCATTCTCGAAGTCTACAAAAAAGATGCCAAATCTAGAAGAGTATCCCTCAGCCCATTCATAATTGTCAAACAATGACCATATATAGTAACCCTTCACCCGTACACCATTACTGAAAGGAAAAGGAAAAGGAAAAATTATTACAGTTTGTTTTGAGTTGAAATACTATAGCATATGCATTGAAAATTTATGACAACTTACTCGATTGCTTTTTTAAGATAGAAAAGATGGTCATTGTGATACTTAATCCTTCTTTCATCCGAGAGAGCTTTTTTAATATTTTGACCCTTGTCGTTTGGTTCACTTACCCCTACACAAATCATGAGGGGATACTATTGTCAATAAATCACAGGAAATTAATGAATAACATATAAATGTTCGTTAACACCACAATACTTTTAGCTATACAAATATATAAGCTAATAATAACAGGACTATTTACCATTCTCGGTAATGTAAATTTCATTATCGCCATATGTCTCCTTCAAATGATTCATGAGCTTGTAAATTCCCCATGGAACAATGTACAACCAATTCGAACCAGGCTGACACAAGAGAAGAAGTTTGTAATTGCATTTGACGTTGTTTCATATATAAACATCAATAAAATCAGTTTAAGTAATTTAATTTACTGTGCCTATTAGAATAAAATAATGCATTAAATAAATAGTTGAAGTTGTTCCAGGCTATTATGAAAATGTTATTGCATAAACTGTTGGGATAATCCAATCTATTTTCGATAGAAAATGGCAAAGCAAAAAGATTTACCGTTGGTGGACCAATCGGCATCCCATTACGTTCTTCTACAAAAGAGTGGGAAGAGAGTGAGAGCTAGTACACGTAATCAAGTCCAGTTTAATGATGAAGTTTACATAAAGGGCTGGAAACAGTACTTACTTAGATCGTTTACCCGTCTATCTGTTATGAAATTTGGTGGTTCATCAGGCGGTAGAGGATGATTGACAGCATAATAAGATGTGTAGTAGTTTACCCCTAAAAAGTCGTAGGATCCTTTCACTAACTTCTCCTCTTGTGATGTAAATATGGGAAGACGTGTTCCTACTCTTTCTTTCATACTTTCTGGATAGTCTCCAATTACTATTGGTGCTACAAACCTAAAAAAAGAAATATGAGATAATTTGCCTTGAATTAATCCTACGATATTAATCTACTTCACGAAGATGGTTTGTAAAATATGTATACACTAGGGTGGTCAAAATATGATTGAACAGTTAAATGTAGGAAAAAGAACTCAGAAGAGAGAGACTGTCATCCTTATACAGTATATGTAGTTAAATGGGTTGGTTTAAGATTTGAATGAGCAATTGTAAAAATTTGTAATTGTCGAACAAATATTAAGTAAACTAGTGCAGTGCATTCTGGCTGAGATTTCACCTTTATTTACTTATAGGATAAAACTATTTGTACACAATCATTTAGACAATTTTTTACACACTCGAGCCAGCCGCCCCTCGAATAGGGGGCGGCCAAGTGTCGAGTGTAGTTATAGCTAAAAATATGTTCCAACCACAATATAAGCTGACTTACCATCCTATTTGAAAATCGATCGCTCTTGAACCAGCGTCTTTATCGGCTTGAGTTTCACTAAAAGGCTCATACCAACATGCAACATTTGTCATCCCTATCTGACCTCCTTGGACTGCCTGTATGTACAAATAATCTGTTTAAATAAACTATATAGAGACGCAATATATAACATTGAAATTAATCACCTGATATTTTTCTCTGTATATATCGACAGCATGTGCATGAGCAAGTATCAAATGATGTGCCACAATATATGGTTCTATCGCTGGATTTCCGCCAAAGGTATGATATCGAGGCCCAGATTTAGACCTATGAATTGAATTACTTAACAGCGCTATGGCTGTCGGAGACTGTTTTGCTGTTGCACCCTTGCTAGGAGGATAAGTGCCATATACATATCCCATAACAGTAAACGACCATGGCTCATTCAGTGTAATCCAATTTTTCACTCGATCACCGAACTCCCAGAAGCAAACCTCAGCGAAATCACAAAAATCTTCCCTGCATCCAGAAACGCACAAATAACAGTTATATCATTTATTTATTTCGTTAAAAGTAATAGGATTAAGTTTCTTACAAAATTCGACGGTCTAAGAAGCCTTGATACTCTAGTTCCAAACATTGAGGAATATCCCAGTGGAACTATATATATATATATATATATATATATATATATATATATATATATATATATATTATACTAATGAATTCTTGTATTCCATAAAAATTGTATTCACGAACTTCATTGGATAATACATACTAGATGCTGAACAAATTCTACGCTACAACAACAACAATCATAGTTCATTTTTCTATTAACTTTATCGAAATGACGTTGGTACCTGGTAAGATTCTAGTCCATGCGACTGAAAATCTGTAAGATTGCAAACCTATTTTCTTCATCAAAGATACATCCTCCTGCAATGTTATTAAAAATCAGTACAACATGAAGCCAATTATTTCATTAAGTTAAACAAAAAGAAAAGAAAGATTTATTTAAATTAATTTAAAAATACATTGTATTGTGGAACATTGTTATTGAATTTACAAGATGAGGAATTTTGATTGAAGTATCAATAATCTATGAAAATAAATGGAAAAAAGAATTAGGTTTGAATTTCATTATCTTTTATTACTAGGTCATTAACTTCAGTACCATTAAAAAAAAATGCATTACTAATATAAAATGAGAAAATTTTCATATGAGTCTACTTTTTTATGATAAAGTGAAATATGTTTCCAGCCTATCATTCTGTAATGTATGATTATTCAATTATGCAAAAGAATTTTAGTATCCTTTTATTAAAATGACCTCTACTTTAAGTATACCAGATTCTTGACAATATAAAAAGGACCATGCTTGAGGTACAAGATTGGGGTTCAGTGTGTGAACCCCTACCGAGCACTCACAACATGGGAGAGTGGGTGGAGTTTTGAGCAATTTTTTTACAAGTGGGTCCCACATGGAACCACTTGTATAAAAAAATCCATATAAAAATTATTGTCTACATAGGTGAGAATGATTTGGATGTCTAAATAAAAATCTCGTCAAATTCAAATAATTTGTCGAGAATGTCCAGATTATTTGAAATTCTTTGAAAAAACAAAAGATGCTTCGGTGACAATTTTGTAAAAGAAAATTGTATCTTTGGAAGAACTAACAAAAATTTTGGAAAAATGGACAATGCTACTCAGAAAATGAGTTAAGCTGGACACTTTTCTCTCATTCTAATAAAATTTGTGAAGTATACCTTGAACAAATTATACTGATCAATAGCAATACACCCATTGCTCCCATCTTCAATTTTCTCTGCAAATCCAGTAAACATGCTCAGCAATTGACATGTAAAACACAACTATGTTTGTTTGTGTGTTGATAAACATATTTTTATGTGTGTATAATATAAAGACACACACAGGAATCAAGAAGATCAAAGAGAGAGAAGAGACCAGGAAATCTCAGTGCGAAATCATCCCAATTACTGAAGCCTTTACCATCCACATTCCAAGCACCTTCAACCTGCAAAAATACATATACGGACAATAATAAAAATTATGAGAATGTAAGGCCTTTCTCTCGTTGTAGCGAATCTCTGCAGGCAAATAGTATGAGATACACCTGATAAGCAGATGTCGCAGCCCCAAATACGAAATCTTCGGGAAAATCGGCGCGCTTGACATCGGGACAGGTTGGAGTATTCACGTAATCATTTAACTTAGAATCGGCACCAGTAATCATCAGAAACTGGTTGTTCTGGTTAGCCATTGATAGGAAGCTGTTTTGGTTAGCCGATGATAGGACGTTGTTTTGGTATGCCATTGCTAGTTAATTTTCATGAAGAACCAGTTCCCCCATTTATAGGGAAATTCTGATCACATGCATGCAAAAATTAATTAACTTCCTCGGTCCCTCGACTCTTGAAAATCTCGAAAACCTTATAAGAAAGAAAGCAAGCCTGGTACTTCATCTTGATTATAGTGTGCATGCAATTCGTCCTAATAATACTATTTAGCATCACTGATTGTAAAATATTAGCACATATAAGTATCATTAAATGATGGGTGTTCTTAATTGCTTAAATTTTTTAGATTAGACATTCAACACTACTTAAATACGAGTCAGTTTTGCCTTTTGTTATTTTTTCCCCTCGATTTTCCTTAAGACTACATCTACTTACAGGAGCCTTACATTAAATTTTGGTCAGAAAAATATATCTGGTTTGATGTTCATGAAGTGGCTTGTTAAAGGAAGATTAAAAAAAAAAAAAAAAAAAATGAAGCCTTTACAAAGTTAAACTTTTAGTAATCTTGTAGTTTCTGTTTCAATTCAATCTTATTTTTGCTATAGGTTGCTTAATGTAATTGTTGTGATTACCTGGAACTTATCTCAACAATATTTTTACCAGCCACACAGCAGCTATTGCAGCTGGAAATAATGGAATTCCAGTGAGAATGCATGGATTTGAATTCGGAAGAGCAAGTGGGATGGCACCTCGTGCTAGGCAAGTTTTTTACTGCACCCACAAAGTTGTGATGCAAATATGTTACATCCTGTTTTCTCAATGACGGATATTCTTCCATCAGTTAAAATGTTCATGTTTGTGCAGGATTGCTGTCTACAAGTCACTCTACAGATTATTTGGTGGTTTTGTTGCAGATGTAGTTGCCGCCATTGATCAGGTATTTTAGATATGTGAAAATGTTGACATGTAAATATTGGAGGATATGAAAATTTTACCGTCCTCTATGATGCTTGGGTATGGGTATGGGTATGGGTATCGGGTACGGGTACATATCTAAGTGTCAGATCTTTTATTTTCTAAAATGTAGGATACGGGGACATGTCTACAAATAGTCTAAATTTTGGACACGGGTACTTAGGTGCGTCTTTCAAACTTCAATTTTTTACTAACTCAAGCTGTTATTTTTAAAGAGAAGTTTTTGATCCAAAGTATATCACGCAGGAATCAACTATCCGTAGGATTCTTTGATAGAAAAAGAACCAAAATCAATTGTTCACAGAGAAGGAAATAGTATTGAATAAGAGGTTAAGACAGTAGGATTTTGGGGTTTCGTTTTCAATTATGAGAAGTTAATTACTAAATATTATATAAAATATAAAATGAGAGATTTGATTGCAATTTGGATTTAGTGGAGCACTAAGTAGTATTATATGGAACTCGTTTTCATTTTATACAAACAAAACCTTAAACCATCGATACAAAGAGGGAAAGAAGGAAAAAAAGAAGAAAAGAAAAGGGAAAGAAAAAAGAAAAGAAGAAGAAGGAAAAATCTAGAGCCATCACCTTTCTCCATCCTTTTGGAGGTGGCACTAGGTTTATAGACAGTAGAAACGGAAAGAAAAGGAAAAGAAAAAAGAAGAAAGAAAAAGAAAGAAGAAGCAAAAAAAAGAGGAATTGTCCAGTTGAAATTTCGAGGATCCGACACATATCCTATACCCATACTCATGTCGTGTTGTGTCCGACACGGTACTTCAATCATTTCGAAGAGTCCGAGCATCAGAGACCGTCCTCTCTGTTTTTCTACTGGATTGCATATGGTTTCTGACTAACAAGCAGCTTGCATGAATTATTTTTCTGTTCTACTTGAATACTTTCTTTTTGCACTGAAATCTTTTCCCTCCGTTGCTCATTTCTTTTCTTTATCTTTACCTTTACCTTTTCCCGGGTGGGGTGGAGTGGAGTGGGAGGTTGTCTTGTGTGTTGTTGCTTTTGTCTTTGAAGACCCTTTTGAACCTTCACATGTCAAGTCTTGATAAGGCCGGTTGAGGATCACCAGGTAATGAAACCTGGATCACACAAAATAATGGATTGGCATGAATCTGAAGAATCTTTAGCAAAATCTTTATTCACATTTGCATGAAATAGATTTATGAGATATGCTACATTGTGATGTGGGAGAGATGTAATGATATGCGAGAGAGAGCACAAAGAAAGGAAGAAAGAAAGTATTTTAGGATCTGCCATGTTTAGGAAAAATTGTGCTTTTCAATATCTAAAATTGCTTACAGATTGGACTATGAAAAGTTTCTCCTTATACTTTTGATAAAAAAACAAATGAAATTATTTGAAGCGATCATGGTAAAAATTTATGAAAAATGTGCAGAAATTTCAGTTTGCTCGCAAATTTGTTGTTTTCAATGTTTATTTGGAAACCTGAGAGAGTTGATAACACGTTATGATTGGTTTCAGGCATTTTATACTATTGAAAATGGCTGTATCAGACTGAAAGATGCACATCTGTTGATTAATTTGACAGAAAATGAATAAAAAAAAGAAGTAGGCCTGATAATTCATTTATTAACTTATGAAAGTATTTATACAGGAAATGGTAACTAACTGCAACAGAAAATCTTTAAAAATTCAAACCGTGCTTTGGACAAACTCTTTGTTAGAATGTCTGCAAGTTGAATACTTGTGTTGCAATACACCAGCTTCACTTCACCATTCTTTTGCACCTCCCTGATAAGGTAGTACTTCACCTTGAAGTGCTTGGTTCTTCCATGGGACACTGAGTTGTTTGAAATCGCTTTTGCAACCTGATTATAGACAAATACTTCAGTTGCTTCTTCTTGTGTCAACATTAGATCTGTCAAGATCTTTCTCAACCATAAAGCTTGATTAACCGCAGCAGCTGCTGTCACGTTCTCAGCTTCTGCATTTGACTGAGCAACAACCTCCTGCTTCCATGAACTCCAACAGAAACACCCTGAACCAAGGCTAAATAGATAAGGAGCTCTCCATGTCTTCACTAGCTCCAGCCCAGTCACTATCTGCATATCCATACAAAATTGACTCATTTTTCTTTTTAAATTTAACTCCCAAGTCCATGTCCCTTTTATGTATCTCAATATTCTTTTTGTAGCTTTAAGGTGTACTTGCTTAGCACAATGCATAAAACTTGAAAGTAAGATGACAGAGTGCATTATATTTGGCCTTGATGCTGCCAAATACATCACAACCAATCAATCTTTGATAGAAGCCTTTGTCAACTACTTCAGCTCCTTCTGGACAGAGCTTCTCATTTTGAGCTAGTGGAGTATCTATGGGTTTGCATTCCTCCATTTTGAATTTTCTTTACACTTACTTAGCATACTTTTCCTGACTAATGAAAATCTCAATTTTTATTTGTTGGATTTCCATTCCAAGAAAAAAAGGCCATCTCACCAAGGTCTGTCATCTCAAATGTAGCCATTATTTGCTCCTTAAACAACTTGACAATCTCTGCACTGTTTCCTGTCACTAGCAAATCATCCACATATAGCGAGATAATAATTATTTCATGTTTTTCTGCTTTAAAAGTATTCTCATTTAGACTTCTATTAAAATCAATGCTCATTAGAATCATCTACAAATCCCTCAGGTTGTCCAACAAAAATTTCTTCTTGCAAGTAACAATTTAGGAATGCAAATTTGACATCCAGATGATAAATTTTCCATTGTTGTCGTGCTGCAATTGCAAGAAGTAGCCTTATTGTATCCAACCTTACCACTGGTGCAAGGGTTTCTGAAAAATCCACTCCAAACTGCTGTGCATAGCCCTTCACCACTAGTCTAGCTTTTTGCTTATTCACAGTTCCATCTGCATTAAATTTTGTCCTATAAATCTATTTGACTCCTATTGTTTTTTTTTTGTGAAGGCCTGTCTACAAGCTCCTAGGTCTAATTCTTATGAATCATCTTCATCTCCTCCTGCATTGCAATGACCCATTTGGGATCATTTGCTGCTTCTTCATATCCGGTAGGTTCCAAAACTGCTACATTACATTTCTGGTAAATTTCAGTGATAGACCTTGTCCCTGTCACTGGTAGCTCATCATAGTTGTCTTCATCAAGTTCGAGTGCTTCCTTTCTTTCTATTGTCCATCTCATTGGTTCTGCTTGTTCCCAATTTAATTCTGCATCTTCATCAAATGTCACATCTTTGCTAATAATGAATTTTCCAGTCGCTGGTTGTAAGATTCTATATCCTTTAGTGGTTGTGCTGTATCCCATAAAAACTACATATTCTACCTTTTCATCCAACTTTTCCTTTTTTGCATTTGGAATGTGAGTGAAGCATAAATAGCCAAAAAATTTTAAATTTGACACATAACATTTAATGTCATATCATGCTTCAAAAGGAGTTTTTCCCTTCAGGGCTCTTGTTGCAAGCCCGTTCAACAAAAATACAGCAGTTTTAACTGCGTCTGCCAATGTTTCTCAAATAACAAACATCTACTCATCTCCATTATAGTTTTGTTTTTCCTTTCACTTGCACCATTCTGCTGAGGAGTGTATTTAGCTGTAAATTGATGCCCAATCCTTACATCCTCACAAAAGTTGCAAAAATCTAAGCTATGTGCTCATTCCCATTGTCAGACCTTATTACCTTGATTTTGCAGCTACTTTGATTCTCGATCCAAACTTTGAATTTCCAAAAGATTGCCGCAACTTCTGATTTCTGCTTCATGAAATACATCCAACACATCCTGCTGAAAAGTCATCAATAAACAAGATGAAATACCTATTTCCATTAAGTGACTCTGTCCTCATTGGTCCACATAGATCAGCGTGGATAAGTTGTAGTCTCTCTGTTGCTCTCCAGACTTTGTTAACTGGGAATTGCTGTCTGGCTTGTTTTCCCAGCTGGCATGCTTCACAAGCTTGGCTTGTTCTTCAGTAAATGTCATTTCTTTCACCACTTTTTCTTTTTGCATGAACTCCAATGCAGAATTAAGAAAATGTCCCATTCTTCTGTGCCATACATCAGCTTGTGATCAAAAATATGCACCGGATCCGGGTTGAAACACTTGTTTTTCATACCAATAGAGATAATAACCGCACCACTGGAGTTAGTAATTTCACAAGTTTTATCTTTGAAAAATACTGAATTGCCCTTTTCATGCAGCTGCCCAACACTAAGCAGGTTTTGATCTATTTCTGGTACAAAACGTACATCAGTAATCTGTAGAACCTGTTATAGCAACCGTTCCCTTTCCTTTTACCTCAATCAACTGGCCATTGTCTATGTTGACCTTTGATTCTTCTGATGATTTGTGCAATTCTTGAAAGAAGGATGCATCATTTGTCCTGTGGTTGGTGCATCCACTATCAATAAGCCAAGCATCACTGGTACTGCGGCTTGTAAAGTAGGTAGCCACAAATAGCTGCTCCTCCTGTTGTTGATGCATCATTTGTGCTTGAGCTGGTTGTCCCTCAATTTGCTTATTTTTACAGACTTTTTCCATTTGCCCCATCTTCTTGCATGATCTGCACAGGATGTCTGCTCTAAATCAGCAATATTTTTATTGATGTGAAGTTTTTTTGCAGTGTGGACATGGTGGATATCTACCTCTGTTACCTTCGTTGTTGTTTTCACCTTCTCTTTTCTGATTTCTATTCCATTGCCTTTTACCCTTATTTTTTCTTGTTTTTGATCGGTCTCTTTCACCTTAAAAGCTCCTTCCACTATCTTCTCTTGCCTGTAAGCTCTTCTTTGCTCTTGAGCTTGCATCGCATTAATCAGTTCTCCTAAGGCGGTTGTTTACCGATCCCTAAACTCTTCAAGTGATGAAATCTTGGCCTCAAAACATTTAGGAATAGTTACCAAGAATTTTTACACAACCCTTCTATCAAGAGGCTCTTCCCCTAACAACCTGATTTCATTGACTACAACTATCAATCTGTTAGTATAGTCCTTTATCCCTTCTGTTTCTTTCATTTTCTGAATCGTGAACTTCCTTCTTAGATTTAGGATTTGCATTTTCTTTGTTCTAGTGTTTCCTTAATATTCTTCTTTAAAAGATCCCATGCCTGTTTGGCAATTTCACAGGCAGTAATCTTTGTAAAAATTGAATATGACTCTGCATGTCTTGGCTTTATACCTCCTGGTTCTCTCATCTCTTTGGTTTCTAATTTGTGCAACAATTGGATCCTCAGGTGCTTGTAGTTCTTCTGTCTCCACCAAATCCCAAAGATTATTTGCTCGCAAAAATGCCTCCATTTTAACAGCCCAAATGTAATAGATTTCTCCTGTGAAAATTGGAGGTTTTGCCATGTAATTGTTTCCAACCATATCTGATTCACTCCTCACAGGTCCCCTAAGAAGTTATGCTCTGATACCAATTTGTTGATTAATTGGCAGAAAATGAATAAAAACAAGTAGGCTGGGAAACTGATAATTCATTTATTAACTTCTGAAAGTATTTTTACAGGAAATGGTAACAACTTCTACAAAAAATCTCTAAAAATATGCCATAAAAATTCAGATATAGAGCAGATTTATTTATTTTTGTTATTCCAGACAAATCTCCAGCAGTTCCAACCAATTTGACACCTCCATATCCTGATTTTGTGTGGTAAATATAACATATTTCAACAACATCATTATGTCTATGCACCATAACTACTCTCTTTTTTGCTATAGTTTCAGAATTGTGCAAAGAACTTGGGACAATAATATTTACAGCACTAAGATGCTGAGTAGAAAATTATCCTTGACATTGCAACAATCCTAACAGAACCGACTATACAGTCTGACCTATATTACTGTGGCAGGATCATGTTAGAAGCCAAAAATGTCATGGACTCTTTAATCTAAAACTGAAAGCTTTACCTAGTCATAGAATAGTAATAAATTGAAAATGAACTTATAGTTGAAGTGGCATACAGATAACAACTATGTATAACATTCTTAATTAAATGAGGTTCTGAATCCCAATTACAAGAGCAATAATCAGTTAAACAAATTTGAAACACACAAGCAAACACAGATTTATAATGTTTTACCCTCAACATGAGAGTTGTGTTTACTTGTTGCTACAGCATATAAGGTTTCATTATGAAGAGGAAGATTACGATGGTGATCTCACACTTATCTGTTTGTGTTTTAGAAAACTCTTTTAAAATTTCCTTTAGATATGTAGGAATAGTAGATCGACATAATACATGTATATAGCAAGGAGATAAGACTACAGAATGCTTAGGCTTCCCAGGGTCCAGCATTAGCAACATATTATGTCAGTTATATAATGAAAGAGAAAACACGTACATAAATGTTTTCCACGTCATATTAGGGATATTTATTTTGTGTGTGTGTGTGTGTGTGTATTGCGTATCAATGTTGTGAAACATGGTAGTTATTTTTGACAGGCTGTTCATGATGGTGTGGACATTCTGAATCTCTCAGTGGGGCCCAACAGTCCTCCAGCAACGACAAAGACAACGTTTTTAAACCCCTTTGATGCTACGCTTCTTTCAGCTGTGAAAGCTGGAGTTTTTATTGCACAGGCAGCCGGAAATGGAGGTCCTTTTCCCAAGACCTTGTTGTCTTATAGTCCATGGATAGCATCTGTAGGTGCTGCAGTTGATGATAGAAGATACAAGAACCATCTGACCTTGGGAAATGGGAAAATCTTGGCTGGACTTGGTCTGTCACGTAAGTTTTATGCAGCTCATCTCAAGGCTTCTAAATTCTTAAACCTGCCTTATGGACACTGCTCGCTCTGTCAGATTTCTTTAATATTGTCCTGTTAGAAAATAAACATTGGTATTGCTGTTAGAAATGTTTCGCTCGTCGTTTGATTTAAATTATAATGAGTTCAAAGTCAAATTGTAATTTAGTCGCACATTTCAGAGGACCACAACTACTACCCACCCATCCACCACTCATTTCTATCATCTTATGATTTCAGCAACTTATAGTTTCTCCCAAACAAGCATTTAGGTCTTTTATCTTCTTAAAGCAATCATGTAAGATGTTTCTTAAAATCTTTGATGCATAAATTTCACATTAACTTACGCCAATACACATTAGCCTGCCTCTTTATTCATGTGATTGTTAGAGTTATCTATCTATTCATGGGAGATGAATTTGTAACCTGAAAATGTTGCTAATTATCAATGCGAGATGGGCACCAAACATACACGATCAGGGATTTTCTAATTATGTTTGGAATTAATTATGTCACAATTTTCATTAGGAGTCAGATAGTGTAATCATTTATTTTCTCTATCGATTTTATTTCTCTCTGTACTGATTTCCTGCCAATTTGTTTAGTAGAATTCACTCAGTTTCACTTAATACAGTCTCTGCTTTTCTTAAGCTCATGTGTTAGTTATTCTTCCAACCTTCCTGCAGCTGCCACGGATGCAAATAGAACATTTACCTTGGTAGCTGCTAATGACGTGCTGCTGGATTCCTCAGTTTCAAGGTATAGTCCTTCTGACTGCCAGAAGCCAGAAGTTCTGAACAAGAACTTGGTGGAGGGGAACATTCTTCTCTGTGGATATTCCTTTAATTTTGTCATTGGTACCGCTTCAATAAAAAAAGTCTCACAAACTGCTAAGAGTCTTGGCGCAATTGGTTTCGTTCTAGCAGTGGAAAATGCTTCTCCAGGAACAAAATTTGATCCTGTTCCTGTTAGTATTCCTGGAATCCTCATCACAGATGTTAGCAAGTCCATGGTAAATATTATGCTTCTCTTTGTTACATAGAGCATATTTGACTAAGTTTCAACGTTTTTCTAATAACTGAATTAGTAACTTCTAAACTATGGGAAGAAAGTAATAGTTAGTTTCTGTTCCTGGTTTTTGTCTTGTCTCAATTTTCTTGTTCTTTTGCTTGGTAATGATATTTGTAGGAGCTTATAGACTACTATAACATATCTACACCAAGAGATTGGACTGGGCGAGTGAAGAGCTTCAAGGCAGTGGGAAGTATCGGGGACGGTCTGAAGCCTATACTCCACAAGTCCGCTCCACAAGTAGCTTTGTTCTCTGCTCGAGGACCCAATATCAAAGACTACAGCTTTCGAGATGCAGATCTCCTCAAACCAGATATTCTGGCTCCTGGTTCTCTAATTTGGGCTTCCTGGGCTCCAAACGGGACAGATGAGGCAAACTACGTTGGTAAAAATACTCATTATACCAATTTACTCCTCTTATTTTTTGGGTAAAGCCGCAGCGTCAGTCCTCAACCTATAGAGCTTGTGGCAACTTGATCCCCACCTTTAAAACGTACTATTTTGGTGTTCGACGTTTCAATTTAGTTGCAGTTGTAGTCCTTGTGGACTGTCTCCAGCCAATTTCTATCAAAATGGTTTGTGCAAAGCATGTGAGGGCAAAATGGGTAAAAATGAATAAATTTTATTGATAGATACATAAATGAGGAAATAGAAAGAATAGAAAAGGAGAGAAGGAAAAGGAATAAAACTTAAATTCTGTGATCCCATCTAAACAGAAATTACACTATTACCATTTTAACATAAGATATATATGTACGCTATCCACAAGAACAAACATGCAATAAATTGATTCGAGTTCCAAAAGCTTCATTATAAAGAATTAAAGATTAGGGATCAAGTTCCTATGAGTGCTATAGGATGGAGACCAATGCTGCAACTATCCCTAATTTTTTGAACAATGTTCTTGTCCTATGCAAGAATCTGAATCACATTGCTTGGAGCAGGTGAAGGATTTGCTTTGATATCTGGAACTAGCATGGCTGCGCCACATATAGCTGGAATAGCTGCTCTCGTGAAGCAGAAGCACCCTCACTGGAGTCCTGCGGCTATCAAATCTGCCTTGATGACTACATCAACTACCCTTGACAGGGCAGAGAGACCGCTTCAAGCTCAACAGTATTCTGGATCGGATACTCTGGCTCTGGTACCTGCAACACCTTTCGATTATGGGAGTGGCCATGTCAATCCTAGGGCAGCTCTAGATCCGGGACTTGTTTTTGATGCAGGTAATTTAATCTACTTTCTTGTTCCGTAATATTAATAACAGGCAACTTAGTGCCAGTTAATCACTGTATTGTAATGGAAATAAAATATCTACTTGTTAGGGATTAAATCTTAATTCCAACTCCAAGATCAATAAGACCAAGAAGAAAATCATAATAATGCAAAGTGAACTCGCATATTTGTGATGGTTCATTCTCAATGTGAGAGCCCAGTCCACTTGCCGATGCAAGTTTTCACTGAAATTGAAATTTATTTTACAACAGAGATCACACAGACTCTCTTCTCTCTCTCACAAAGGGAAAAAAATCTCCTTTGATTCCCTTATATAGCAAGGAAGCTTGGGTGACCTAAGAGATGAACATTATCATTAGGGCCATAAAATCCAACATTACTTGGGTTAGTTTCTTGTGCAGTCAATATGTTGGAAATTTGTTAGCCATACAGTCTGGCCCTGCGATTGCTGTATAATTTCTCTATCCATGATATTCAATATATTTCAGATTTGTACTATTCGTCTTCCAAGATTCAGCACCTAACCATCATAATCAGGTTGGACTTTGTGGAGTCTAATAACAGCGTACAAGTGTACAACAGTATAAAATCCAGGGGGACCTGTTTTGAGTATGTGAGATGCGTTAGAAAACCTAGTTATTATTATTATTATTATTATTATTATTATTATTATTATTATTTTATATCTTATCATGGTAGGCAGGTGGATATAGCTCTCACTTTAAAGGTGAACGACTAAAAATCCATGTATTTCCTTTGCTTGTTTTTCGACTTCCATTATGTTTATCCTTGACAACTCCTATTTGACTAGGTCCTATAAGCTGGATATTGTTGGTCATCATCAATTACCTTTATATACTCTCATTTTTTCGTAGAATTGGTTGTATTTAACCTATCAATGCTTATTCGATTTTCGACTTAACCTTTATGGTTTTACTAAAAGGAAATTCACCCCTCCACTAAATTCACGTAATCATTTAACTTAGAATCGGCACCAGTAATCATCAGAAACTGGTTGTTCTGGTTAGCCATTGATAGGAAGCTGTTTTGGTTAGCCGATGATAGGACGTTGTTTTGGTATGCCATTGCTAGTTAATTTTCATGAAGAACCAGTTCCCCCATTTATAGGGAAATTCTGATCACATGCATGCAAAAATTAATTAACTTCCTCGGTCCCTCGACTCTTGAAAATCTCGAAAACCTTATAAGAAAGAAAGCAAGCCTGGTACTTCATCTTGATTATAGTGTGCATGCAATTCGTCCTAATAATACTATTTAGCATCACTGATTGTAAAATATTAGCACATATAAGTATCATTAAATGATGGGTGTTCTTAATTGCTTAAATTTTTTAGATTAGACATTCAACACTACTTAAATACGAGTCAGTTTTGCCTTTTGTTATTTTTTCCCCTCGATTTTCCTTAAGACTACATCTACTTACAGGAGCCTTACATTAAATTTTGGTCAGAAAAATATATCTGGTTTGATGTTCATGAAGTGGCTTGTTAATGGAAGATTAAAAAAAAAAAATTAAAAAAATACATGTAGCCATTAACAAGTTAAACTTTTAGTAAGGCAGCAAGCCATTGAAAAAATTGTGCATATCATCTGATTGTTTACTATGTATTTCTGTAAAGTTAAATGATTAGCAAAATGTGTATAATTCATACATCAAAAGCGTGAAAATATTTCTGAAACAAAAATATATCCTATGATACAATTTCCCATGTTTTCATTATATTTTGTTTTGTTACACATAATAGTCTTGTGTTATATGTTGTAAGCACCGCCCATGTGGTTGGATTGTGAGATTAACGCAATGTACTCAGCTACTGAGGGAGTCCGTGAACCTGAAGACCACTAACTTCGTAAAATCCGACATTTATTGAGAAAAAGTTGAAAACTTAATGAATAATTGTTATATTCAATCATACTACATGAACATCAAGGTTGATATAAAGTTTGACATAATCTCAAGTGACATTCTATTATTGGTCAATTTAAAATATAATCACATTTTCTATCCAATCATCTACTGGCACATGACATTATGTCAAGCTTTCTGTCAAATTCTTCTGGCGACGTAGTTTTATCCTTGTTCTATTACATTTGCAATAAAGTGATTAGAGAAGTGCTACATGTACATAATTGTTTACATAATGGTGTCTATAATTACACGTGGCATTAGATCCAACATTTAATTCAAATCTCACACTTGCGCATCAACAATCGAATGATTGACACATCACATTATGGACACCATTATGTACAATAATTATGTACAAGTAGAATTTTCCAAGTGATTATCGCTAGGCTTCATTGGCAACATCAATTGCCAATATAAACCCTTGAGAACAAGACCTAACTCTAGTGATAAGAGTATATAATATGTCATTAACATATTTTTCACGAAAGTAAACTTGTGTATATATACCTTGGTCGGGGAAAATTACTTCTGATCACAACAAACACAATAAGGATGATACTGTTTTGTTGCCTCCCTTTGAATACAATTTATAAATTCAGTCAAAATAAAACATTAATTTAACCACATACTTATACATAGCTACTAATTATTATTATTCATATATTTCGTAGAATCCACTACTCTTCTTCTTACTATTCATATTTGCAAATCATTTATAAAGTTGCCAAATGAAAATTTTATTTGGTGTGACGACTATATATTAATTTTGTTATTATTATGGAGGATTATTTAGTAATTTTAGTAATGTATTAATATTACGATAAATTAATATTGTTGGGCCTAATTAAAACTTCACAAGTTTTATTATCCTAATAGAATTAGGATTATAATTAAGTGATTTTATAATTGTATTCAAGTTGATTTTTATAAGGATATTTAAATTTAAGTCTAATACAAATAGTGAAATATTTCATTATATACGCAAAATAACAATTATTTGTTGTTCTATATGCAAAAGGCACAAATAACAATTATATCGTAGAATAAATATATATTTATTTCATTGAAAACAACATAATTGAACTGCTTACACAATTTGATGGCTTATAGTCATTATAGACAATAAGGAAAATGTAACTAGAAAAATTCTAACAGATTGTTTGACGGAAGAGTGTGTAGCATTTTGTGATTTGATAAAAAAATCTGAATGTGTTTTAAATAATCCAATATTATAGCGCCGCATGACATTATGTCACCCATTGTATCAACCATTATGTCACTGCAGCATGATGTCCAAGAATTTGTGCAAAATCTAGTATGTAATATCCAATGAACTTCCGCATCGTAAATTTTTTAATGTGTGTTTTATATTGTTACGTTTAGGAGGTAAATTAGGTGCCAGCTTATGAACAGAAGGAATTAAGTAATGCATCAATCTCATATATTTAATTCTTGTATTTATTCTTCTTTAACAACTGTTGTTCAATTTTATTTACTTCCCAAATGGAATTTTAAAATTTTGATAGCTTTTGAAATCATTTCTCATTTTATAATTATAGAACCTATCGTCTAACAGTTTAACGTATTAGATAAAGAGTAAAAAAATTTATTTGTTAAATTTTATCCTCAACTTGTCCTCTCATACAAAGATTAGATTGTCTGAGTAGACAAAAAATCTTGGTAAACTTTACACAACTTGCCTAGATTACTTGAAATCGAAGAAGATGTTTTTTTATTTTTTTTTAAACAATTTTATTAAAAAAAAAAAAAAGCACCTTTGGAATAACAAATAAATTTTTGAAAAAATGGACAATATTGTTCAAAAAATGAAATTCCTGTTTGGTTTAGCTAAAAATTATATTTTCAATAGATTCTGATAAAAAATGATGAAATATACCTTTGAAAGAACTGATAAATTTTTGAAAAAATGGACAATATTGTTCAAAAAATGAAACTCCAGCTTTGTTTAGCTAAAAAGTATATTTTCAATAGATTTTGATAATAAAAAAAAATGGTGAAATGTGTGGTTGATAAACTAATAAAAGGTTTAAATTTCATAAAATGTATTATTAAAATTTGTTGATTATTATTATTTTTTAAGGTAAATCAAACATGTACAAAATATGTTGGGACAAATTTCATTCTCTAATATAAAATTGGTGAAATACAAATTTTACTGATCGATGGCAGTACACCACCTCTTCTATCAGCAATATTACCTGCTACTCGCCTACTCCACTCCAGTAAGAACAAACATGCTCAGCAATTGACATGTAAAATACCCAAATACACGTGTTTGTGAATGCAAGAATTAATTTACTCGTGTGCGCCTGCATGCAATTGCAAATACACGTATTTCTAATTACATGNCATGACATTATGTCACCCATTGTATCAACCATTATGTCACTGCAGCATGATGTCCAAGAATTTGTGCAAAATCTAGTATGTAACATCCAATGAACTTCCGCATCGTAAATTTTTTAATTTGTGTTTTATATTGTTACGTTTAGGAGGTAAATTAGGTGCCAGCTTATGAACAGAAGGAATTAAGTAATACATCAATCTCATATATTTAATTCTTGTATTTATTCTTCTTTAACAATTGTTGTTCAATTTTATTTACTTCCCAAATGGAATTATAAAAATTTTGATAGCTTTTGAAATCATTTCTCATTTTATAATTATAGAACCTATCGTCTAACAGTTTAACGTATTAAATAAAGAGTAAAAAAAATTATTTGTTAAATTTTATCCTCAACTTGTCCTCTCATACAAAGATTAGATTGTCTGAGTAGACAAAAAATCTTGGTAAACTTTACACAACTTGCCTAGATTACTTGAAATCGAAGAAGATATTTTTTTTATTTTTTTTTAAACAATTTTGTTAAAAAAAAAAAAAAAGCACCTTTGGAATAACAAATAAATTTTTGAAAAAATGGACAATATTGTTCAAAAAATGAAATTCCTATTTGGTTTAGCTAAAAATTATATTTTCAATAGATTCTGATAAAAAATGATGAAATATACCTTTGAAAGAACTAATAAATTTTTGAAAAAATGGACAATATTGTTCAAAAAATGAAACTCCAGCTTGGTTTAGC